GCAGGACGGAGCAGAGGGTCCTGGGGGCCAGGGCCTTCAGGGCCGACGTCGGGGCTTGACTGTGCGCCGGGGGCCGCCGCCCAGTTTTCAATCGCGGCGGCCGCGGTGGCCGTGGCCGGCTTCCGGCGGCGGCTTCCGAAGCCGCCAGCGTGCGATCCGTGTCCACCGCGCTCATCGGGGGGCAGCCCGGCCCGCGGGGTGCGCGGCTCTCTGACTGCTGTCTCTTTGACGGTGTGGACACCGCTCCCCGCGTAGGCAGCCCGTCGGCGGAGCCGCGCCCCGGCTCGCCGTCGCTCGCGCTGCCGCTCGACGCCGGAGAGGGGAGGGGGCGCGTGCAGCTGCGCGGGGAGGCTCCGCGCGTGCAGCAGTCTCCGAGCGGCTCGAGCTTGCGCGAGGTTGCGAAGAGCTTGGCCAGCGCCGCGGCCGACATTTCCGCGCGCCAGGACGAGCTGCACGGGTGAGATGCAGCCAAGATGCAGCCAAGATGCAGCGTATGGCCCGAGTCCTCCCCCTGAGAGTCTGGCCGAGAGCCGGTTGTGCGTGAGGCGAGGGGCGAACGAGGCGGGAGGACCTCTCCTGCACCCATAGGTCGGTGGAGCGGCTTATTGCGGCGCTCGGCGCTGCAGAAGCGGAGTCGGCGGGGCGAGGGTGCCTCCCGAGCTAGGCGCTGCTGGCGGTCAATTGTAAGGTACCGCAGGAGCCCCAGCGGTCATGCGGGGGCTCTCACATGCATGCGAGTGTATAGTAAGATTAGGCGCATATGTGGCGCAAGAATATGTGGCGCATCTAGGGCGGCACGTCTACGGGGTCTAGCGTGCAACTAATTACGTCGTACTGTGAAGCTCTGTTTTTCGTACCTCACATCTCACAACAACAACGAGTTTTATTGATATTGTGCGCGCACGTTGGGGCCAAATTGGCTAGTTCCATTTCACTCTGACACGCTAATCTTGAAAACGTCCAACGGAGCTCCGTGTTGCTCCCAGCGCCCTCCCCCGCGCTTCCTGCGGCCATGGCCGATGATACTAGTATGAGAGGTCATCTGGCTACCGCGAGCGCGACTCAACTCGCCGACGTCGTCCGATGATTGTGCCTCAAAGTCAGCCTCCGGAGGCTATCGTGGGGTCGAGCCGGCAGTAGCCGTGACATGTGGTTCCACCACCCCTCGTATGCTTTGCCTCTGACCGCCACCGTTCCCAGGCTGCCAAATGGGATGGAAAGGAAGGCTCGGCGAGCGTATAGAAGCGTGCTCGACCTCGTCGTGGCAACCTGTACGGCAGCGCTGGTAGGCGCGATGAGCGTCGTGCCACCTGACCCGAGACGGGTCGCAGGCGTCGTACCGAGCGCGTCGAGACCGTGTCCTGATGTGATCTGCACGGGTGAGTCACGTCGGCGTCAAAGGAGCGACGTGCGACCTGTCAGAGCTTGATCTCCGATCTCAGCGGCGTCGAGTCATCTCCGGCGCGCGACAAAGGTACATCCACAGGACGCGCAGAGGCAGCTGCGACCCAGCGGAGTGGACGGTAACGCACCGCGCCACCTGCTGTGCGTTACCGTCCACTCGGCGGGGTCGCAGCTGCCTCTGGAAGGCACCGAGATGTACCTTTTTCGCGTAATGGTCAAAATCAAGGTTTTGTAACGCGAGCTGTGCCACAGTGAAATGGAACTAGCCATTGTGCGTTGGTTGTGCCATTCTGCCAACCCGTGAGGGGTGACGAAAACGAACAACGCACCAGGCGATCTGCCTGAGAACGCGGGGTCGAATCGTTGGAGGCACCTAGAGCAAAATTGAGCCCGCTCAGGCGTGAACAAAAAATATAAGGGTCGACCAGGTTTCGAACCGGGGGCCTCCCGCTCGCGGGACGGCACTCGGCGAAGAAACACTGGGCAGGACGGCGCCGGCGGGCGACCTTGAGCTATGTAGCGGGGGAATTAGACACCACACAGACACCAGAAGGACGTCATTAGTACGAACCCTCAGAAGGCCATCGCCATGGGCGCCGAGAGAACATTCGACATTCCCCCGAGAAGCCAAAAAAGAAAAAAGAAAAAGAAAAAGCCTTCGCACCCCCTCCTCTTGCGCAGTGAGCCCCCCGCTATGTGTCGCCGTTATCGGGGCACGCTATCCTGTGCAATCAGGGCAAGGGGGGGGGGGGGGCAGTCCTTTTGGTTGGATATTGGTGTGGTTTTGTTTTTAGTTTGGGAGGGGGGCAAAAAGATAAGAATTGAATTGGGTTTTGGGGGGGGGGGGGGGCAAATTGTGCAATCTTGAGAGAATTGCACGCAAAACGTTTCTGGACCATTCTGGTTTACACATTACAGGAAGCGGACTGCTGCGTCGACCGTCGTTTGCGCATTGTGGCTCTACGGCTTAAATGACTAAAATCAAAGCCGTCTGGAGCCGTTGTGTGTGATCTCACAGTAGAGTTGTCCGTTTTTATTTATTTATTTATGTGTGTGCAACATGCAGATGT